ATCAGCAAAACAATGTTTCTGCTCGAGCCACCGCGCTCCTTCTGCTTCGCAAACCGGCTCCAGGCACTTTCTCTTGTTCTTGTGATTCCCTTCCTGAATTACTGCAGCCAAGTAATTGTTTCATCATGTTGCACTGAAATATTTTCCCATCGTGTCACCGTAACATTCATTTCTCAAACCAAAGCTCCTCCTTTTGCTTACAGAAAAACGTATGGCAAAGCCCCCGTGCCCCAGAGCCCAGGCGAGCTCCCGGAGGAGGGACAGGGCAAGGGAGGCATCGGAGGGATTCTGGGGTTGTTTGGAGGAAGCTGTGATTCCTGTGACTGTCATTTCTAGGCACCATCAGTGAGCTCCTTACCACAGGCTTAATGAACTGCTGTTGCAATAGACTGGCAAACCCGAGGTATTTATAGCAAACAAACAAGGGCTGCGCTGGGTCTGTGTGGGGATGGGGACCGGAGCCTCCCAGAGCCTCCTGGCAAAAACTCCCTTCTTTCCAGAGGTGTCTGCATTCGAGCCCATCTAAACCAGGTCTCCTGGCTGAGCCAGCCCTTCTCTGGCCTGAGTTTAGTAGAGGATTTATTCTGAAAATTTTATGAAATGATGAGACCTAACTAAAACCTCTGATTAAATACCCTGAACTCTGAGAAGGTGCTTTGATAGCTATGGAATGTGTGATACAGGAATCACAGAGGCAAGAGCCAAAGGGATAGGACAAGGTAAAAACCAGATGTAGGTCATAGTCTTTCTTAGCATTTAATTAGCTAGAAAATATTACTGGAATTTATTATTATTTATTATATGAATAATTTCCATAGCAAATTAATAAGTTTTTTTTTAATTTATAACAAATAAGAGTTAAATTTGGCACTGCTTTGTGAAATCATGGCACCCAGTTGGAAGGTTTGGAACTAAATGTGTCCCTATTGTAAGTGCAAATCAATTATTTTCACCGACTGCTAACTCATTTATTCTCGTCGTGAATTCTCCCCTCTTGGTTTTCACATCCAGGCAGATCTGACCAGCAGCATTTCTTGGAGGGGAGAAAAGCCTTTCATTCAAAACAAAACATCTGAACAATTGAGCAGATTGAGCAGGTGGGGAAATGACCACAAAAGGCATTTTTGAGTTTCCAATTTCCAGTGGCTCAAACAAAGCATATCAGAGTCAGGGCTGTGCCGGGCCTGAGAGCTGCAGCTCCCGAGGACGGGCTGTGCCAGGATCAAACCCCAGGATCAAACCCCAGGATCAAACCCCGGGCTCCAGGATCACTGCACAGGGAAAGTCTCCGGGAGTTTCACGTAGTTCCCATCAGGCAAACACGGCACCATGAATTTCACATGACCCTGATGGCAAACCAAGCTGTATCTGATCTTTTTTAGGTGTTTACAAACCCACCACAGATTGTGCTGCTCGTCTGCCCAGGCTGGGGCAACACAGCTGCAGCTCACATGAAAGAATCAGGAACCTCAGAAATCCTCAGGATATAGAGTAGAGCTTCTACCAAAGTTTAGTTTTAGGTTGCAAATATTAAACTCTCAGACTATGTTTGGGTCCCAGCAAAGAGTTAAATAGAACTTAATTCTTTTAATGATTTCACTTGTTTGTTCAGTGAGTGTCTCTCAAAAGAGAACTAATTCCCTCACAGGTTTAATGGTTTGACCACATCGCTTTATTTTTACTTGATTGATTGATTGATTGAAAAAAGTGTCCTGAATTTGAACATAATTGTTTCTTTGGGAGTAGTAAGTATATTCCTAGTTCTGTTTCAATTTCTTATTTAACATATTAGGACCCTTTCAACATCCAGGCATATAACTTTTTTTTCACACTCCACATTAGTATACGAGGTTCACCCTAAAATTCTGACTGTTCAGCATTTGTGTAAGATGTAAAGAGAAAAAGGCCAACACTCAAGAGAGTAGAAGTAATTTTTTTTTCATTAGAAATTGGGAGCAAAAAGATTTAGAACCAAATTCTATTCCAAATTCATTCCCCCCATCCACCACATAATCACGTATATCCAGCCCAAACTGAATGCAGAGCCCTGCTCTGGACTCACTTTGTGTCACTGGAATGACAGGCAAATGCAGGGCATTGAGCATTATCACTATAAATAACAAAAGAAGATATGTAATTTGACCTTACAGCTTTTCTCTTTATTAAAGCAGGTACAGAGTTGCATTGAATTTTATTCTGGTCACAGCTAATGAAACATTGCTTGAAAACCAGTGTGAGAGTAACTTCATGTTTTTACACACACCCACATCGATGACAGTTGTTCTCACAATTCAACTGCAAAGGTAAACTTTGTGCACAAAGCTTTTCTCTGGCTCTAATTTTGGGCTATTGCAGGATTTCAGTGAGGAAAAAACCATACTGTTATCAAATATGATCAAGTCTCCCATCCAATAGCCCTTGGGTACAATTTGGGTGATTTTATTTGACAGAGGAAGAACAATTAGTATGGAAAGACACATAATTTTTCTTGCATCTTCCAAGAGTTACCAATGGAAGGCTGTGGGAAAAGTGGGAAAGCAACATCACAGTGTCAGAGCTGCACAGGGTTACACTCTGGACAGATAAGCAGAGAGTAACAGTTTGAAGAACCACTAAAAAACCTATAATTGTATTCTTAAATATATTTTATAAATGCTACATATGATTCCTTCTGAAGAACTAAGCACAGCTGAATTCAAACACCTTACAAAACAGTGCCAGGTGCTTTGGAACAGGGATGTTGGTGCCATGGATTTGATCTTACAGACTGATTTCTACTCTGTTATTTTAGTAGCAATGAGAACGACCTGTAGGAATCAGCCAGTGTAACATATCATTTGAAAAGAAAGAAAAAAAAAAAAAAAGCCCAAATAAAATGCTGTTTAAAAACTTCCATAAAACTCAAAACAGATCTCTGGTGTTTGCACTTCTCTGTCTGGTTTGCCTGCACATGGACTGCACAGTCCTACCACAAGCTGTCCTGAGTGGCTTTGGGAAGAGCAGCTCAGGAGACCCTGTCAGAGACCAGCCCAGACGTCCCAACTCCTGCTCTTGGCCAGCAGAATCTTATTTGTTATGGGAAAATAAATCAATATTTGGAGCTGAGCCACTGTTTGGACAGGGATTTTCCAATTCCCCCACTGTGATTAGTAAAGGTATTTGGAATCTTTTGCCTGCTTTATGCTTGGACTCTTCTCAGATTCATTTCCAAACTACTTTTTCGAGACTAATTTTTTCTAGGACATGTTTTAATTACAGGGGCTTTTTCACATGCTGGTTTAGAAAGCAGGGTATTTCATGACCTCCATGCACTACAAAGCTCCTACAATGTAAGTTATGAGGGTAATACAAGATTAAGAATGAAGGATTCGGGAATTCTCTTTCTGACTCTTTCACAAATTCCTTGTGAGACTGGTGTAAAATTGGTGCGTTCGTGTCCTCAATTTTCCTGTCTGTACCTGCATCTTTCTGACAAAAAAATCGCTGCTGCACAAGGTTCCTCCTGAAGGAGAAATCTGTAATCCTAATTAGGAGATACACTGGAATACAGCAGTAATTTAAACATCATTCTTTAAATTGCAGCAACACCGCCCTGGCTCTCCTGCACCGCGGCAGGCAGAGTTTAAGGATGGGGATTAGCTCCTTCATGCCTGGGAGAGCTCTATCTCCAAAACTGGACTATTATTTAAACAGATATAAATACCTTCAGTACATCTTATCTTTCAATCTACCCTGCCTTCCAGCCCCCACAAACTGAACTCTTGTTGGAAGCTTTGTTATTAAGAAAGCAAGAAAGCAAGAAAGAGAGAAAGCAAGAAAGAAAGAGAGCAAGAAAGAAAAGTATTTGAGGACATCTTAAGTCCTCCAGCAGTTCCACTCTCGACAGCACTGGGCTCTGACTGGGAACACTGTTTGCAAGTTTGGGTAACATTGCACGGCCTACAGCACAACAAGAAAATAGGATCTAACGATGTGGATAAGTTTCGTAACTATACAAATAGTAGAATAAACAGCCACGGGAGGCTGGAGTAATCACCGTCACGAGGGACAGTCAAGACAAGATCTAACGTCGATCTTGCCTGCAAGGACTTGAGTCATGCTGGTGCAGGAGCTCACCCAAGAAAATCTATTTTAGGGTCTCATAAAAACGGCTGAACTGCACTGCACAAATCAAAAAGCAAATGGGGGAAATCTGTATCAGGACCAACAGTGCCCTGCTCACGACTGCACGGCTCCTGGGGGCGCAGGGAATGTGTAACAAATGTCAGGGAGAGCTCCAGCTGGTGGGCCTGCAGGAGGCTCTGATCTTGAGAGTCAAAAAAAGCAGAACAGTTCTTTCAGTAGAAAACATGTTTTCCTTAAAGAAAGACTGGAAACAAGCAGCAAATTGCAGATTTGTCCTGCAGCCCACTGCTGTTTGTATTGGAATGTATAGGAGCAAATTCAAGGCCACTGTCTTTATACTGGAAATCCCTTTTGTGCTCAGCTGTCAGAGCACAGGCAGTTAAGGAGTTTCTTTACCAGGCACAGGGAATCGGGATCTAAAAAATTCACGTTTAAATTTGGCCTAACAGGAAAATGGAAAATGCTGAGTAAGACATGATCATTTGCCCTACTCCCTCCACATAACCAGCCTGGGACTGTTCACTTCTTACAGACCTTGACATGGCAGCACACAGTGGGGAATAACAGAGCTGGGAGCCCCAGCAGGGCTGACGTGTTCAGCAGCAGGCTGGAGAGCCTTGGATCTCTCCAAAACAAAGTTCTGGCCTGCTACAAACTTCCTCCTCCTCTGCCACCCCCCCCTTGTCCATCACTTGCCCCCAGAAAATGCACACACACAGAAGCAAACAGTCCTCATCAGAGAATTCTATCTGCAGTTTTTAGAAAAATGTCTCAAGAGCAAAGGGAAGGGGGTTGTTCAGGAGCCTCTCACCTGGCAGGGTCTCATGGGAGCTTCCTGAGCAATGACCGAAATTACCGACATCCAACAGAAATGCTACTTTCTCATGTTTATTCCTGTAAACTACAAACATAAGAAATGCTGAATCATAGAGAATAGAAACTCTGTAAAGAAAAAAACCCCAAACACAAACAAAAACTCATTCAAAGCTTCCTCCCTTACTTTTTCTTCCTCCCTCCCACTTCAGACTTGGTGTTATTTGCCAAGGATTGGTCATGGTTTGGATAGCACATCTTGCTCTACACGTTCAGAACAGCATGAAGTGCAAAAAAAACCCCAACACAAACACCTCCTCCCCAAACAACACCCAAGCGGCAGCTAAACCAAGTGATTAGAGGAAATAAAATGAGGCAACAAGAACTGGCTAAAGCTTCCAGCTCTGCTCCTTGCTGGGTTTCTCTTGAGGGTTTTGGTTTTGGTTGTTGATTTTTTTTCCTTTCTCTGAGTCAGAGAAAGCTAAAAGACCAACAAAAATCCCTATCCCTGATCACAGCAATGAGCCAGAATCAGCTGGAATTTCAACCCTGTGTTTAATCTAACTTTAAACATGCCTCCAAAATAAAACAAGCTACTTTTTTTTTAACCTAGTCATAAAGTTTATTAAAATTGTTCATTAATGCTTCAAATGTAGCAAGAATGCATAGATCCCAAAATATACATATGTATTTTCTTATAGAAATAGATTATTCTTTATAATAAAAAAAACTGTAAGAACATCTTTAACAGATTACTCAATCCATGACTGACAGTTACACGAGATTGCATCATGTACACAGCATTCCCAGCCATGCTTAAAGGATTGCATCACTTTGCCCTTGCTCTCCTCTCGCTCTTTTAAATAACCCCAGCGCCCAGCAGCCTGCAGAGCCCGCCCGGGGCCGGGGCCGGGGTCCCCCCGCGCCGCCCGCCCCCGCAGCCCCCGGACCCCGCTCAGAACCCGCGCGGCGGCGGAGCCTTCCGCCAACATGTCTGTAAAGACACACGCACACACAAAAAATAATCCAACAGCAACAACACAAATTAAAACCAACCCCGCCCGCCCGCCCGCCGCGGGCTCTCGCCCCCCCTCGCCCCGGCCCCGGGAGCGCGGAGCGGGGCCGGGAACCGGCGGCTCCGCTCGCCCCGCCGCCCGGCCGGGGGTCAGCAGCGAGGCGAGGAGGCGAGCAGTGGCTCGGGCAGCTGTTTGAACAAGTTCCTGAGGGTGCTCAGCTCCCGGGAGAGCTGCTCCACCTTCTTCTGCAGCCGCTCGTTCTCGGCCGTCAGTTCCAAGACTTTGTGCTGCGTCTCCAGGTTGCGCATTTTGGCTTTGTCGCGGCTCTTGCGCACCGCGATGTTGTTCCTCTCCCGGCGGAGCTTGTACTCGTCGCTGTGCTTGTCCACGCACTTCTTGGGCTTGTTCTTGCCCGCCGGGGCGGCGGAGTAGCCTCCGCCGGCAGCGGCGGATTTGGAGGACTCGGAGGGGTTGGGGGTGCCGGGGGGGCTGGAGGAGGACGAGGTGGACAGGTTCCCGCTGCTGCCGCTCGGCACCGACTGGTAACCCAGGTAGGAGCGCACGGTGCTGCCGTAGGGCGAGGACATTCCCCCCGGTCCCGGCCCGGCGCCCCCTTCTTCCTTACGGGGCCCTTTGCAAGAGTCCAGGGTCTCGAAGACCGGCTCCACTTTGGTTTCCACGATCTGGGGCGGGAAGCAGCCCGGCAGCCCCCCCGGCTTGTGGCTCTGGCTGGCGCAGGGGTGGCTGTGCCGGGCGAGGCTGATGTAGGTGTAGTCGGGCTTCTTGCTGCCGCCGCTGCCTTTATAGTCCTCGGCGAAGAGATCGGAAAGGAAATCTTGGCCGGCGCCGCTGCTGCACGGAGGCTCAAAGTTGCCCCCTGCTGCTGCCGCGGGAGGCGGCGGCTGCGATGCCAAGGGCTCCAGGTACGGGCTGAAGTCGATGGCTCGCTCGTGGTCCCCGACGGTGAGCTCGGTCATGGAGCGGCCCCCGGCCGCCCGCGGGTGCAGCTTGTTGAGAGCAGCCAGACAGTCCGCCTCGTAATAGAAATTAGCCACTTCCATGGATTTAAAGGCGGGCGGCTGGATGGGGAGGCATGCTGCGTCCCAGGCCACCAGGCGTTGCATTAAAGCAAAGGGGGATGCGGGGAGGAGGAAACGACGCAGGGGGCCCCCCCCGGCAGAGGGTCAAGCTGCCGCCGTCGGGGTGGGGGCTCCAGACCCTGCCGCAGTCTCTGGCGTGGGCACGGCCCCGCGGCGCTGCCCACCCGGGCTGGATCAGTCCCTGCGGCGCGGCGGGGCTTCACCGCTCCGGCAGCTGCGGCGGGGGCTGGCGCGTCTCCTCCGGACCATCTGGTTCTGGGTCCCGTGTCCTAAAGTCTCTGACTTAGGAAAGTTCCTCTCCTCAGTTATTTATAGGGGCGGTGGATCCCATAGCAACAGGCGCGTCACCGCCTGGCCGCCTGCCACGCCGCACGCTCGGCAACTGCTGGCCCCGGCCCCGGAGGAGGCTCCTGGGGCGGGTGCGCCGGTGCGGTGCGGTGCGGTGCCCGCCGGGCCGCCCACAACACACCCGGCGAGGGAGGGAGGGAGGGAGGGGCGGCTGAGGACCTGCAGGTGCGGGAGGTCGGGGCTAGCCGCGGCCAGGTCCGGCGGGGACAGCGGCGGGGACAGCGGCGGCCAGCGCTCGGCCTCGGGGACACAAGTGTGCCGGGCTCTGCTGCTGCTCCCGCCGAGCCGGCCTGGGCTCCGCTCTGACACCGGAGAGCGGGGCACTGCCCGGGGCTGGCAGCGGGACTGGGCACAGATCCCCCTGGGTCTCGTTTTACCCTTGGGGACATCAAGGCGGGAGGGATTTTTCCAAGTTCTTTTGGCAAAGCAGGGGGAAAGCTGCAAACCAAAGACGGATCCCGTTACTCTCCATCCCGTGCTTGCTTTGGTAAATCCCACTGGCAGGCAGAAGTGTCCCCAGGGACGTGCACAGAGCCGCTTTCCAGTGGCGAGCCCTGGGCCGAGCGATGAGGAGCTGGAGCAGGGCACGGCACTGCTCCGGGCTCCCTCCTCGCCGCTGAGAACATCCACAGGGCAGCGAACCCAGCGCTCCCTCCCCAGCATTCGTGCAGGGATGGGGCCCTGAAAGTTTGTCTTGGTGTATTTACTTTGCAGGATATGGTGCAACTGTGAGGGCACAGACGGGATAGGGGATCCACACATGAAACCAAAGGGGACCCACCGGGCGGGACGTGGCTCAGGAGGAAAGTGAGAGACGTGCAGGGGAACGTGGAGCCCAGAGTTTTTCAATCTGTGGGGTAAGTTTGGGAAGGAAGACTGAATCTTGATGTCCGTTTTAATTAAAGACACCCACCTTGGGAATCAAACTTATATTTTCACTCTCTTACTCCCACATTTACCTGTCTACAAGCTGGTGATTCATCCCCAGAATAAAGGACATTAATTTAAAACAAAACATATAATTAAAGGAAGTAGGAGTGTCCTCGCCTCAGTAAAGAAGACCCAGCACTGCAGGGAAAATGACACTGCCTCTTAGAATAATGTGAAGCAATCCTGCGGTGTGGGAAATATTGTAACGTTAAGCCAGAGGAACAGGTATTGCATTATATGATTCAAACAGTCAACTGTTCTTAATGTTCAAACCTCAGAACTCTGAAAAGAGGAAGAATTCAAGAATCACTCAGTGGATCATCGGACTTTTTTTTTTATTTGCTTTTTCTGTTCATGTTTTAATAGGATTTTTTTTTCCATAACAAAAGCCCCCTAACAGGTTTTCGGGCCTCAAATATTTCTAGTTCCATCTTTATCTATCAAGTTAATCTTTGGTGAATGCACCAGAGATTAAATTGGAGCTGGGCCTGGCCAGAGAGCTGGGTCTGGAGGTTGTAGTTGGAGCCCATACCTTCATAAATACAAACATCTGTATTGGGTGCAAATACTGGCAAGTTGCAGTGAGCCAGGGCTTGTTCTTCTGGCTGTTTACTGCTTCATCCTGCACCTTTATCCTGCATTCTGATCTGGCAGTTACATCCAGCGGCTGCCCTAACTGGCCCTTCCAACCGAACTCTTAAAATCAGTCTCATGTGCTTCCTACCTCCAAACTGTCTCAGGGACCCACAGGCAGAAGGTCTCCTGCGTGGTGACCTGCTACGTGCACGGTTGGTCTCTCTTGGCCAGTCGTTGGCTAAAATCAAACGCTAAAGCTGGTTGGTAAAATTCCTGAACAGCTTTTCAAGATATTTTTGGAGATCTAAATTTGCCCTCTTCGAATTTCTGCCCTTATTCTCTGCTGCTCTGCAGCAGAAAGTTGTATTCCCACCTGGGCTGATCTTCCCCAACAAAATAAAATGCCTGTGCAACTGTCATGTGAAACAGATTCTATCAGGGATGGTGTGGCCCACACCTGCTTTCCCGGCCAGTGCTGAGTAATCCCGCAGTCACCGGGATCACATGGCAGCTGGGTGGTAATTCAGGTTGGATGCCCAGCTTGTCCCCTCCTTCCCTTCTCCCCTTCACCTCCCTGCTGTACCTGGATGTCTTTAAACTTCCTCCAGCTCACCTCAAATCCCAACATCCGCTCTCATGTAGCCAACATCCATTCTCAGCTTCTCATGGGAACCTTGTTGGCGAGACTAACCACTTATCCAAAACCCCAGCATTCGGCAAGCAGGTTTTGAGCTAACTCTGGTCTCTTTTAAATTGTTTCTGCACTTGTCATAACAAATGCATGGCCAGAAGTGGGGGTTTTGAGATGGGAACAGGTGCAGAGCAAGACTCGCACCGCATGATTGAGAGGAGGTCTGGGCACACCAAGCTCTGTCCCTGCAAGTGCCTGGCTTGGCCTGGCCAGATATGCAGAGGCTGCTAATAATTGTCCTGAAAAACCTCCTCAGAGATGCTTTAGATAGGAAAAGAGATGCAGACATTCCTGGCGAAAGGATCCAGGCACTGGCAGCAGCCCTTCCGCAGCTTGTCTCCCAGAAGAGCCATTTTCGACTGAAAAGCAGCACTTCTGTGAAAAGCTCCTTCCTACTACTGATTTCATGGATTTTTTTTCAGAACTATTCAGTTGAGGAAGGAGACAGCATAACTCACAAATTACTCAGTAAGAACATAACATTTTCGAGGAAAAAAAAATCTGATGCAATAGCATCCAGATTCCTCTACATTCATGGGTGAAACAATACAGAAATGAGGAGAGGAACAGGAGGAGACCAGTGTGGTGAAAAGGTGGAGGGAAGAATGTAATCCTCACTGCTCATCTCTGTCATGAATTAAATTCTGCTCTCCAGTTTGCCTTTTGTACTGTAGAAGCCACAACTTTCCAGCTCCAGGCTCGGACCTACAATAAAGCATTGCAGAGGCATTTTCTTCCTGGAAATTGTCTTCTTTTCCAGGATTTCTTGCAAGCTTTCTACTTCATGCACTTCAGGTCTGCAGCAGCTGTCCCTGGAATGACACCAGTTTTGGGGGGATGCTGTTAGTTTAGTGGTGATGGCTCAAACACTGAAGTGTTTGTCAGAAAGTCTATGGACTGAGGGTCATGCTGTAAAAAGAGGCTGGCTGAAATTTCTGATGCTTCTTGGTGCAGTTTTGTCCCATTTATTATTATTATTATTATTATTATTATTTCCCTTGCAGTAGCTCTTAGCAGGTCGGTAAGATCAGAGCTGCATCACACTGAAGGTGCTGAGCCACAGGGCTGCAGCCTGGAACAGCACAAGAGGGGCAGAGCTGGGGCACAGGGAAAGGAAGGTGATGCCAGAAGTTGACAGTTGCAGCAATGCCTGGGGTGCTGTGGGCAGTGTGTTGGAGGGGAGCCGGAGAAGAAGTGAGGGGTTCCAGAGCACAATGTCTCTGCAAACAGGGTGGTGTGAGAGGAGAGCACAGAGGTGGTGTGAGGAGGTCTCTGGGGGGTAGGAGGGGACCTTGCCTAAAAGACTGACTTAAGTAGTGTTGCAATAAAGGCTGCAAAATAGAGAAGTAAATTTGAAATTTATTTCTGAGCATGGCAAGTGCTCTCTTTTCCTTTCCTAGCCCCAGGTCCCTCTTTATTCAGCCGCACACCATGCGCCAACAACTCACAAGTTGTACCTGGCAGAGGCCAGGTTTGAATCTATCGCTCTCTACTTGCTGTAAAACACCAACACTTACAAAATGTCAGAGAGGGACAATGTCTCAACTCCAAGAGAGGTTGGCTCTCCTTCCGTCTGCCCCAGCTCTCAGACCAGTCTCGACACTTTGCTTCATTTTAGCATCAAAAACGATTGCAACACGCTTTCCGCCTCCTGAACCCGCTGCTGGATGCTCTGCCTGGCAGTGCCGGGGCCCAAAGCTCCCCAGGCAGTCCCAGGCCCTGTCTCCTGAACTCCTTCGCTTCTTTTGTTACAGACCAGAACCCTCCCCCCCGAATGCTCCCTCACCCTATTCCCATGTGACATGGTGATGCTCAGGTTTTTGTTGGTCTTCTGCTGATTTTCTGCTCACCTCTGACCCAGCAGGCTTGGCCTTTGCAGCGCTGGGTTGCTCAATCCCCCTTTATCTGCACGTTGCTCTTTGCCCTACCGAGAGCCGCGGAGACGACACCTGGAGATTGGCACCGGTGGGACAACATGAGCGAAATACCTTCCCTGGCCGCACGGAAAATTTTCCAGAGCAAATTTTTAGGTCTGAGCACCCAGTCTGGGGCTCTGCAAAGGAAAGAAAGGAGGTAGAGCCAGAGCACACAAAGGCCCGTGGAAGGGAACAGTGACAGAGCAGAAGCCACGGTCTCTGTCCTGCATGGCAGAGGGAGTCCATGCTGGAGCAGTTCTGCTGGCAAGATGTGGGCTGTCAGTCTGAGCAGGGACAGGGAGAGGTGACTTTGTATCTTACAAAGCAGCCCATTTCCTTGTGTTCCAATAAAAATGGCAGAAAGGCTGCTGTCTATTAGCTTTCCAGAAATTCTCCATAGTTGTCTGACATTTCCTAGGTAATCACAGCCTCCTGCTTTGATGAATTTGGTACAGATTGTGTATTAATGATCTCTTGTGTAAGCATTCGAAAGATTCATCAAGGGAAGAGGAATGCTATCCTTCCAGGGTATCCTGCCAAGTGTCAGAAGCTCCCAGGAACAGAACTCGATTATTCCTTCAGGAAATTTCTAAAAGAGGGAAACTATTCCAAGGTCCTGAGGCTGCAGGACAGATAGCTGGAACTCCATGGGGTGTATGGCCAGGGGCAACACAAACCAAGGAAATCTGAGAGGGGAGTGGGCCCAAGTGGAGAATTAGAAGATTTTTTTCTTTATTAAAAGCATTAAAGATTTGTGTTCTAGACTGTACAAATATTTGTTTTCCATCTGCTCTAGTCCTGTGTGGAGCACCA